TTCAAAGACTATGCGTTGTGGCAAAACCCAGTCCCATCTCTTCGACAAGATTTGGCCGTCCCATTCACCTCCAATAAAAAATTAAATTGTCGAGTTATGCCACGAAGGGGAATGGTCCTACGAATTGGAAGATTGAACAACTGAAGCCAATAAATGTAACTTTGAAAATTGGGTATGAGATGGAAGCAGAGAAAAACATACAGGTAAATGTGCAAGTAAGAGATGATCTACATGAAACTATGGTGAATCGAAAGTAATGCCCTAACATCGACTAAATCATCCATGAAGTGTTACATCTGTGGAGCAACGCCTACGAAGTTCAATAACATCGAAAAGCTACCGCTGCCAGCTGAGGAGACATACGAGTAAGGCCCTTTTTCCACTCCACAAATGGATTCGCTGTTTTGGGATTCTAATTCACATTTCATGGAGACTTACCATTCAAAAGTGGCACGCAACATCAGACAAAGACAAGGAATTGCTTGCAACCAAAAATAATGAGACCCAAGATCTTTTTAAAGCCGAACTTGGACTCAGAGTGGACGAACCAAAACAGGGTCTAACAACACAAACGATGGACATTCGGCATAAAGAGCATTCCAGACAGAAAAGACATTTGCAGCAATTTGTGGATTAAAGGAATCCATATAGTTCATAAATTGCACATGATCCTTTTGCCCTATCATATTCACTTCCCCTTGACCCTGAAAAATTTGGAGTTTTGCAGGGAAACTACAAAACTACCGATCGAGCTATACACTTGGTTCAAGATGCCAGTAGGCTAAATGTCCATATTCTGCTGATCCCTGGGGCTGAAATTCTGTCATTTTGGTGCTTCCCATTGGCATGATGAGCTCAAGAAGCCATAAATAAAGACTTCAAATTTACCATGTGGGACATGTAAGACAGACATCAAGTGTTGAAACATTGACTGACGTTTTTCAAAGACTAGTGGTCTGGTCACGGGAGATGTTTGTCCTCAGTGCAAAGTCGGTACGGTCACAACATTCAGGACCCCTCCCTCGCGAAGTTACCAACAGACTCTGATCTTGACACTGACAGTGACCATGGAAACAGCAGTCAGCAAAGGGAATCTTCAGACAGTGATTAGTCCTAAGGGGTAGGTAGGGCAGATCCTATCAGATACCAGACTAGGGGCCTAAATCATCGATTTTAAACACAGTACATAAATTTACTACTTTGAAACCATTACAAGGAAAACCTGTTGGAGAGTCCAGTAAATAAAGATATTTTATTCTATTTTGCACCTTGAACTGTTGCCAGACCAAATATCGGTAAGATGTCGTTTTGAATGGCTTTACACTAAAAATACTTCTGCATTGACAATTACACCAATCAGAAAACTGCATTTTTTCAGACTGTATAAATCTTACCCAAAATTGGTACAAACTGATTTTGTCTAATTCTTACAGTCTTAAATGTCAGGCCTATGAATTTAAGGGAAAAGGTTCCAGTAGATTTGCAACGTAAGGATATTACTTCATACCTGGGCCCACTGCGTAAAATACAATGAATGATGAATATAGAGCCGTTCATTAAAAACGGCATTTGAATGACGTCAAAAACGTTTGGAACAAGTTCCATTAGATTCTAGAAACCCAGTAGAGTTAATCATTATTTGAGACCTGCACCTGAAAATAATTCTAGCGCGCTTTGATCCTATCCTCACCCATGCACTGCACGTATCCACAAGCAGGCCCGCTTATACACACAATTACTTATACAGGCTGTGTGTGATTCAATTTTATCCATGCGTCGCCCTTTTCAAGTTGCAAAAAAGGTCTGTAGTTGGAGTTGAAATAAACTAGTGCCCCTTGCTAAGTAACAGACTGGATACGTTCCTCGACTCAAGTGCAAGTATTAAAGTTGGGGATAAATGCTATAAAGAGAAATGTTTGTGTAACACTTTACTTCAATAACTTGACAGGTGAAGAGAAAGGGTGAATGTATAAGGACTTCATGACATAACATCGTGTGTGTGTAAATAAGCCCTTTAGCTATTTGTTTTTACGGATGGCAAGACATATTTACAATATTATTGGCCAGCATAATGCTATCGATCAACTGATCAAGTTTGACCGGTATCAGTACGGAAAGGACTGTTGTCCTTGATGTAATATCTCAGACTAGAAAAAAAAACAGAAAAGAAAATATAACAAAAGTAATGGAAAGGTGCCCGCCTGGATGTGATTTTGGTAGAAATTTTAAATGTTGTCAAAATATTACATCTCTACCACAAACTCACATCCAAAACAGAATTAACATCGAGGATTACATCATCAGAGTCCAATATCACATCCACTGTCAATGCACCTAACCGAATCACATTATAATCCTGAATGTGATTTCTGACTCAGGTGTGACTTTAGATGATGCCTGCCAAAATCACATTCTATACCCAATATCACATCCACCAAAATCATCTCTCTGCTTTTGTAGGGAAGTCAAATCCAGGCTGTTTATGGGATCAAAGTCTTGCTGAAACCTTTGATTAGTTTGATGAATGTTATTAACTTCCCATTCCACGTCAGTGGTTTAAGTTAAAAATTTAAGTGATCAGTCCCGACGTCCATGTGAAAGATTATTCATGCTGAAAGAAAAATAGAATAATAGGACAGGTGGCGTGCAACTTCAACCTTTTTCCTGTATGACCGATTGCCTGGTTATTCTAAATATGGTTTACTGTTTATCAAAATTACTTTGACTGTAAGTAATAATATTAATGTAGAAAAGACATAATTCTCTGACTTAGTTTAAATGAAATTGATTTGTTGAACTTGTTAATAATAGCCTATAAAGAAATAAAAAAGGGAAAAATCCTTTATCATTGGCGATGTTAACGTCGATTTATTGAAATTAGTATATTAAACCATTCAGTATGTTGCCATTTTTTTGTGCCAACTCCTACTTAACGCTGATAAATTCACCAACTCGTACGCTGTCTAAGAAATTGCTACTTTGATAAATACTACTCTATCTGACAGTACTGGAAAAACGGAAAGCGGTGTACTGCTTAATGAACATTTCAGACCATGGTACCAATTCTCCTCTAATATTAGAGACACGGATAAATGATAATTAATAAAACTTTTAAATAAACATTTATTTGATTCAGTCATATTACAGCAGACACATTTGAATTGTTTAAAATTGACTTAAACGACGCCAACAGGAAAACTACTTGTGTTGACAAAAATATAATTATTTTTGAATTATCTTATTGCCGAACTTTCGGTAACTGGTTATCTCACCTTGTCCAGATACCAAAAGCTCGGCATTGAGATAATTCAGAGCACTGATTGTATAATTATATTTTGTCAATAATCCTACAACGGTGCTACGCACCCCTTTTAGGGAAATCACCTGGTCGAAATTCCGTCACATTATTTTTGATAATTTTTTCAAAATAATTTTTTTCAAAATTCTTAAAGATGCGTTTTCCTTAAAGAAAGTCTAAGCCCTTAAAAAGCCCTTTCGCGGACCGACAGAGTATTAAATTCAATCAGGTATAGGACAAACTATTTCAGAGTATTTGAAAAATCGGAATCACGGCAATTTCGACAATTACGAGCTTTCCCTAATCAAGATAAATGCTTACATCCAAGCAAAAATTATGACGATTTTGAATAAGCACATAGGCCTACTACAGGTACTAACACTGGTGGAAGATTAACGAGAGTGACGATAGAAATGTAGCCTTCTGAGTTAAATACACGTAGAAATCATACAAATAATGCCAAAAAATATTTCACACGCTCCCCATGACTATCTACAAATACCCTTGTGTCAATCTTTTAACCCTCAAGATACCATAATGCTTGTAAGAGAGAAAACTCAACTGATTCTAATATTCGACGGTTTCACTTTTTTAAACTTTGTATACATTTAGCTTAACCTTTCTTCTTAAAGATTTATCCGCTAAAAGGATCAGACACCATCGGTTCTTGCGGCGCCAAATTTGCCACACATCCGTGAAAAACAAAGCAAAACAAACAAATCTAACCAAACCAATAAACAAACATAAACGTTGAGAGTGTCCCCTTCGATTTCGGAAACTTACGATTGGAACGATCTTCACGTCCAGACGGGTGATCCATTCTGTCAAAATTCCGTAACTGTTTTGTTTTGTTTATTATCTTCTTGGGAAGCGATCACATTGATGGTGTGATCGCCTGTTTCCAGTGTGCGTTGCACTTTTTTAATTATTCGGTGTTGTGCGCAATCAAGGTTTGACCTAAGGGTTGTGTTTTTGTGTTCTACATACTGTTGTTAAATACTCCCCACTAATCAGTTTGTATGATGTAAACTTGAGAAAATATCACTTGACCCCGCTACAGTGTCCATGGGTTTGCCATGCTTTGCATGCACTGGGTGCAGTGCAGACCATCACTCAGAAGACCGGTACATAAAGTATTGCTTATGCGGTCAGACCAACCGAAATGTCGCTTCCCGGGTATACTTCAAAACAAGCTGTGATATGGGGAAACGCAATCACATGGAGGGTATCATAAATTAATTAATACAGGATTAACGTCTCGACGTGGATTTAATCTGCGCATGCGTAATTATAGGCTTTTTAAAAAAAGTGGAAATACAAGCCTGGTACTTGCAATGTGAACGTGGAAACTAGAGGGTGGTAGAATTCCATGAAAGAAGGATGGTGGGTTGGTGAGAGTATTCCCTGACTTCCCTCAAAGTACAATACTCAGGCTAACTGTTTCGTTGATGGGTTCAAATCCGTTCAGTTGACTATCATGGCATCGCAAGTAAATTCAGTAAACTGTGCCTATAACAAACTGACTTGGAAAAATTTTAATCGATGAGTTTTTTTTCCTGTAGATTTTCCTTGAGTATTTTAATAATCATTAGACTAAACATACTGTTCTCTTTTCGGTACTAAAATTGTCCAAAAGCTCATTAGAACTGTTTTTAATGTAAGAATTACGTTGAAACTATCAATGATGCAGAAAAACTGAAGGGGTGATGAACTTTTAACATTTACAGTTTGTATAACACCTGCCTTCCAGTTCAATAATAAAAATATTGTGAGCCGAAACTGTGAAATAGTTTACTTTTCTAATTCAGATATGCACAAAAACACTCTTTATTGTGTCCAATGAAATATACAGTATTTCATGTGCCCCAGACGCTTGAACTTGGAAAATGGCATACTCAGTAAACTTTTTATAATCTTATCAATGCCTCTTATGTGATAGTTCGTTTGTTTAATCAAAAGCATACCTCGCAAAAACCTATGCTTTATGATTTTTCCATCTCTAATGGCCTTTCTAATGTGATAGTTCGTTTGTTTAATCAAAAGCATACCTCGCAAAAACCTATGCTTTATGATCTTTCAATCTCTAATGATCTTTCTAACTTTTATTTACACAATGTTGAAAACGTAGAAAGTCAATAAACGAAGTCACATACACTTATTTATAGTACACGTGATCAGTGCATTAAAATTATATTTCAGAATAACAAGCATTGCCGTTTTCTAATCCCCATTACTACACTCATTACCTGTGGCATGCTGACCCCCTGAAATCCCATCATAACCCCTGAACACATCAACTAACACGTTGACAAACTCGTCTTGTGGCGGACACACCGTGTCATTGGGTGCTTTGTAGTTTCCAAAATAAAACTCTAAACATCCATTAAATGTTTCCAACTGACTGGTGCCTGGGCAAGCGAAGCTCCCGTTATTAAAAGTAGTCAGTGGATCGTCTTCACAGGCTTCATACCTTTTTGCAGCGAATTCCAGGTCGTCGAACTTCTGGCCATCGTAGCTCTCATTGGAAAAGCAGACACAGCCTCGATTGAGTTCGTTGGCGAAGTTAGGGGGACGCCCATACCCAAAGGTGTCGAAGAGCTCCTGGTATAGTTCATTGGCACAAGGACAAGTACCGTTCCATCCCCGTGGGGGATTTCTGTTGTCGAAATAAACGTGCAGACATGTATCATAGTAGATAATAACCTCTGGCTCTGGACAAACGTAGGGCATGTCCGTGCCTCCAGGCAGCAAGTTGCTCTCCAGCTCAATGAGACAGTGGGTCAGGAGCGGAAAGGGGAAATCGCTCACAAACCCGCAACGGTCCATGACTGGCATTCCGGCGAGGCTGTCACCAGTATTGTTGCTGACAAAGTTACGGGGATCATTGCAGACGCAGTCGGGAGGCTCCTCTCGTCCATACGCTGTCTCAAGCATCTCTATAAACACGTCAAAACATGGACAATCGTCCGGTGAGATTGGAGGTCCATCAAAGTCAGGTGCCTCAAAGTGGTATCCAAAACAGAGCAGCATTGCGTCAGTATAGCCCGACGCAGGACACAGAGGAGAATCAGGAGTAGCCTCACAGTAAAGGAGTCGTGGGTAAGGAAAACCATTGTAACATCCTTGACGCCCGAGCTGAACACCACGCGAAGCGTAGACATTATCGAAAAAGCTTCCGCTAGACGAAAAACTGTAACTGAACGAGGACCAATCAATTTGTCGACGTTTACGTCTTGAAGCGCAACCACAGCCGCCGTCTGGACCAAAGTCAAATGTCAACTCGAAGATCAAGGTGCCAAAAGACGGGCACACACTCGGTGGTGAGTCACAAACAGCGCTAGCGTTTCCACTGAAAGGTTGGCCATCTAAAGAAACACTTCCGAGGTGGTAATCTAAACATTGGGCCGTTTCTTGAATCTCTGTAGCAGGGGGGCAGTAAAAGCCGTCGGATAGAGTTCGGTTGTCGTCTTCCCCAAGAGCGAGGCACTCCCTGAACGTAACAAATTCGAATAATTCGTGGATGGAAGGGGTCGGAGGGTCCTCGGTACCAAAGGTGTCGTTGAGTTGATTGTACAGATCTTCCAGAGAGGGACAAGATATAACCTGACTGGAATTAGGCTTACAGTTGCTTGCACGCCTATCAAAGTGATAGTCCAGGCAGTTGGAGAAATACAGTAAAGTGTCATTGTCCGGACAGACGAATCCGTTGGTACTTGCTACCGGGGGTTCATCGATGTAAAACAGACAATACAAAAGTCTTGGGTAGGGGAAATGATGTATGTGTCTGTCCATTTGTCGAGTCCATCCACCCCTAAATTGTTCAAGCCGGAGGTAATTATTCGCGTAGCTAAAACGATGACAGTGTAGAAGTGGCATTGGCGTTGTTGGCAATTCCGTTGTGGGAATCTCCGTAGTTGTGGGCAACTCCGTTGTCGTTGGGATTTCCGTGGTTGTTAGCGACTCCGTAGTCATGGGAGTTTCAGTTATTGAGGGTAACTTTGTAGTGGTTGGAATATCCGTTGTTGTAGGCAACTCCGTGGTCGTTGGAATTTCTGTGGTTGTGAGCAATCCTGTTGTCGTGGAAATGTTTGCGGTTGTCGGTAACTCGCTCATCGTTGTAACATCCTGCGTAGTGGGCAAGTCCTCCTCTGTGGAAGTGTCCATGGCTGTAGTCATCTGCGTAGTCGTGGGAATGTCCTTGGTTGTGGATGGCAGCTGCCTCGTTGTGTCAATGACTCTGCTTGTTTCCAAGTAAGCAGTGGTGGGGATAACCTGGATAGTGGTCTGTGACCTACTTGATGGAGTTGGTCGCGGCGTTTTCGCCGCTTCTCGTGTGGGTGTCGGGGTCTCAGTCGTAGGAATGCCAGACGTTGACGACAATTTCATTGTTGTGGCAGGTTTTGTCGTGATGACTGTTGTTGTGGGAGCTTCAATAGAAAAAAAATGAGCGCATTCGTATTATTTAAAAATAAAGATCTACGTTGTAATGCTAAAACAGTGAAGTTAATAAGATTTAACAGTAGGGCCTATAATACAAATGCACCATTTATGATGATCCCGGCACTAGTAGGGAATGTCTTTCCAATTCTGACCTTCAACCAATGATATAACAAGACACTGGAACACTGAAAAGGCCACCACGTGAGCAATTTTGAGTTTGAAAGAGAACAATTATTTTACCCTAATACAATAGCAAAAAAGCACACAGAATTCAAAACTAACCAGCGTAGAACGTCTGCTGCATGAAATGTATTTGGTCGGGGAAACGACGGTTTTTTGTTATTTTGAACGTTTACTTAACTTTGAATGAAAATCAGTTTAAATTGAATACAAAACAGACTAAAAAACCCCGGGGTGAATGTGATACTTAATTACTTACAATTACTTATAATATTGCTTAAATAACTGGTCCTTATTACTTATTACCTATGATTTTTTTAAGCTTCGGGCCAAGTAACACCAAAAGCTGCTGTTAGACTTCATCTGTAATACCGATAATCCCTTTACCATTGAATCTTTCCAGAAAATGGTGTTACCAAATGTGGCGTTTTTGTTTTTCTCAGTTTGATGTAATTATTGGTTTGTGCTTTTGCTTATTTGTGCAATGAGAATAGTTTACATGGTGGCAGCGAACACGCCCACGATACACAAAAACGGTTCCCTTGCGATACAGTGGCATTTCTTTATTGATGTAGGTATCGTGACATCAGTGGCCGTATTTATCATCTGGTGCCTAAGAACAATAAAGGGGCATGCGCTGTCTCTTAAAGTCGATTCAAAAATATCTATCAAATAAGTCGATTGAAGTAATTAAAACTAATAGCCGATTTGCCCTTTGAATTTACTCGATTCATTTATGTCATTCAACCAGTCTATGTTGTACCTTGGCATTCTGGAAGGAGGAAGCCTTCCGGACAGGAGCAGCTACAGACGTCTATGGCTCTGTTCACTGTCCCTCCATTGAAACAGTAAAGATTACAAACTGAAAAAGAAACAAGAAATAGAGTGATTGATGTGTCTTTTTTTAACTGGCCAGTAGGACAGAACAGGCAAAACAAGTAAAACTGTTCAAGTCATCTGGAAAATTAAAAGTGAAATATTTGCCAGTGCTCAGTTAAAAAGTATTTTGGTCAAATCTAAGTAAATTGCTTTCTGTGAAAAGACGGCGTATGATGAATGGCTTTGATACGGTGCACATATTCTGATGCTGTACAGCTGCGAATATTTAAGTTTCCTATATATATGCAGCAAATATACTTGGAATTATATAAATCTTACATCGTTTTATTCAACCACTAATTTAAACACTCGAAGGTGTGTGCAACAAGATAAATGAACGACTATAATATGGTTTTCGAAAACAAAATTCAGGCTGGCAACCAATATTCTGACAGAACATACCATCGAACACGACGAGCGTGGCCGGCACGAAACTGAACTGACCGAGGTTACCAATTAGCGCCCGTTCTTCCAGTTTCTCGCGGAAGACTTCTTTGAATGGTATGTCTGCGTTGGTATTTTCCGTGTAGATGCTCTCGAAGGTGATTACAATGCTACCTCGCCTGTTGGGCAAGAAGATTGGCAACCTTAAGTAGCTTTAACGTCGTTGACGCTTCATGTACGCTGCTTAAATCGGGGTGTGTCCCACCATTCCTAAACCAAGCTGGATGCTTCTTGGCCACGGTTTGAAAAGTGACACCAGTGCGCATATCAACTATGCAAATTAAACACGTTTTACTGCTGGTAACAGCCAAAGCTTTCTGCGGACAAAGTCGCCACTATTGATCACTTTGAAGCATGAGAATTGACGGGGGAGAGGAATTTACAAACATCAGTCTCTGTTTTTCGAATGGTGGGTATCACAAATCTAAATCCAAGTTTGATGCCGGACGATCGAGGATGACTTAGCCAGTCGCAATCACCTACATCCCAAAGACGGCTCTTCGTACTTCGTAGGTACCAGCGAATTAACAATAATTAAGAAATACTTTTTGTTACAGTAAACCTTTTGACACGTAAGAACTTGTAGCAGATTTGTGAGTATTACAAAGACTTATAGTGGACTACGACTAACACTTTTGAAGGAAAACAGGATGAACAAAATTCAAGGTTCTCTGTTGTTAACTTCATATAAGGAGATTTGTTTTAGGTGTGGTGTGGAAAAAGGACTGATATTATTCACCTGGATGAAAACGGCAATATATTAAGAATCTTTTCCATGAAGAAATGTGTGTAAAAAGAATAATTTTGTATATTGTCAGTCATGGTTTTTGAAACAGATAGCAATGGGATTTTAACTTACGAAATATCATGCACAACTGTTTCGAGATATCCCTCACTCGCAGATCCACGTTCGAATAAGTTGTCCATCTTTCAAGCAGATGCAGAATCGGGCAAGAAGATAGCAACATACAAGTACGACGGTTTAATAAACCAAGGGACTTCCCAATTATCTTAGTAAAACACAGCTTTTGGTAATGATCGAACAATAACTAATACACGACAAAACAAAAGGAACCAGGCACAAAACAGAAACGGTCACAGTAAGCTCCAAAATATATACCTTGTATTCTTTGAGGGCAGTACAGTAAGGTTTGGGGCTGCAACCTCATGTAACTAACTGGACGTGTATTACCACACGCTGCAAAGTGGAGTAAACGTTCTTGATTTGTCTGATTTTTTTTTCATTTTCTAGGATGTCTCGGAAAGCCAGAGTCACTCAGTTCATTACCACTTTTTCGGGAGTTAAAACACATGATTCACAGTAACTGTGGTCATTTAATTTTGTGTTTGGAAAACCCATTTTGCCAAGTAAATGCATCAGTTGCTAAACAACGCTTTCTGCCGGCATTGAAAACACGGAGTACAGGTTTGCTTACCTCATCAATGAAATTTTGAGCCAGGGCCTGGTAATCAGCCGAAGTGGGGTCGTCATACGCTGGAATGTACTCGAGGTCAAAGGTTATGTTGCCACCCACAAACTCTATTGATCGAGAAGCGTTTTTAAATTTAAAATTAAGTACAAAAAGCAGGCAGGGATTCAGGGATGGGGTTTAGGTCAGCCCTCTATGACATAGAAAAAAGAAGCAATGAATTTTAGATTACGAGAAAAACTAGTTGAAATTCTGTAGATGTTATTATTTGTACTTAATAAGGGTGTAATGCATCAGCTATCTGTGTTCCTGTTCACAACAATTGGATATTTTTAATAAGGGATTAACCCCTGATAAAATTACTGGATCAGCCCCTTTAAAACCTTACATTTCAATTAAAACCAACCCCAAGTACTTGACATTAAAAGATGAATACAGAGATTGGAATACAGATTTAGTTTGTTTACAAGATCACACTAAAGCCGAACTTCATTGCTGTGTGTTTACTCATAAAAGATTTTAACGATTGACAGACTCTCGAGAGGGTTAACTTCGCCGTCAAGCTAAGTTCCTTAACAGAATACAAGGGCATGGAGAACGGGTCTAACGAAAACCCCTTTTCCAATCTTTGTTTCATTAATAGAGGTCCACAAAACAAAAGTCTTGGATTTGCCTCATTGAGCATTTGAAATGCACCAGATTGCAGGGTGTGGTATCCTTTCAAGGGAGGCATGCCCTTACATTCCCCATTAGTCGCTTTTAACACAGAGTATTAACTTCGGTGTACTATACTTTCTGTATGACATTTGGTCAGTTATATTCCTTTGCAAAGGGCATCAGTTCAGTTGCTCCCTGAGGCCACACAAAAGCGTTTAGATTTTGTCGTTTTGTGGTTGCTCAGACAGGCGAAAATTGCGGGCATTTACGCCTTTGTCACAATGATGCATCACTCATCAAGCATGAAACCCACTAAATTTTCGTGCCAAACCCAGATTGGATTATTTGCGTGGGTGAGCGGTTTTTAAATTAAAACTCTATTACGTGTAGAGTCACCACTCAAATCCAGACGATATTAATACAGGTATCCAAAATGGGTCTTCAAAATTTAGAAAGCAATATAAACAAAATACTCACCGATTTCGAGCGTCATTGCTAAAAAAGGACAAAATCGAAGAAAAATATTACTTTGCAGTAGGCCTATCATTTAGAGCATCGATTTATGGAGTTTTCGGTTTTCATAACAATTGTCAGGTTTTCATGTATTTGAACGAAACAGACTGTGCCTGGGAAACATTTGCAAATTTCTTCTTCATTCAGGAAATCCAATGAATGATGTAATTACGCCATTTTGTCAGGCAACAGATGCAGTGATATCAACGAGCTAGCATCAAAATAGGCTATGTAAAAGCATATATACCGTACTTGGATTCCATTCTCTTTTTAATGGGCTATGATCTGCATTATCTGTGCAGAAAATCACAACTGCAAGTTTAAAACCTATAATTCAGCCTAGAAGGCACCACAAGGATATAGGGAAAACCTACAAATATTGAAAAACAGGTATTTTTCACAATTGTCTACGCTTTTGAGAGGAATCCTCTAGGTGATTTCGACGTAAATGTCACTTCTAATGATGTACTTTATAATATTACACTTTACCTGCTTGTTCACGAGGCGTCAGCTGGGCTGTCAAAGGATGGATAAAGAGATATTTTGTCACAAAATGCCAAAGACAAAGAGAAGTACGAATAGGGTTCATTTTTATTCGTGTCAGGGTATATAAAAAAAAAACCAATTTTTCATGACCAAATATAGATTTTGTTGGGAGCTTCCTCAAGCCGGGGAAATGAAGCAAGACCTTTTGTGAATTCCCCACACAACAAGGCGCGATGCTGATCGAATGATTCATTATACATGTACAGTTAGATTAGTATAAAGGTATGGAATATTTATATTAAATAGTTTTACTTAAAACCACACTCCTAAGGACAGTGAACACCCAGACGTGATGAACGGAGTACGGAGAGCCTGTTGAACTACCCATCCATGTGATGCTTATTTGATACCATAAAGAAGTTCACCATTGCAAAGGTTAAATTTTATGAGCCAATAGTGTATACTTTTACCTCAAGCGTTTGCATGGTAAAGGTTGAGGGGATACTGCATTACCCAGCACCTCTACTTACTGCTCAAGAAAATTGCTGGAAATATGCCTCCCAGCAACAAAAGAAACACAACAAAAGAAAGAACAAAGCAGAGGATGACGCGCTTTATCCTCTCCTCCGGTGGGAACCCACGTCTTTTGTAGTACATGGAATACCTCCTCCATCCCCCCTGACTGAAATCGTCCAAGGGAATGTCCAGGATGTCTTCCTCCACTCCAAAACGAGGCCAGCGATGAAACTGACGGGTTCCCGCCAGGCCGCTAGGATTTGTGAACTCATAGACAACATCTGCGTCAGGATTGCGCTGTGTGATCATATTAATATATGATAATTGTCAATTATCTTAAAAACTAAAGTTTTGCTCTAGCTTTAGTCATTTCCGCTCCTTTCGAAGACCTTATTTATTATTTTGTTTTATTTATAGAGTCTCACTTACCGTTACTCTAGTATGAAAAGAATACGTCTGTCATTGTGCAACCGAAAGGTTAGTGAGCTACGTTTGGCAGACACAAGTCATAATTCAACGTCTCACCAGAAGACTTTCTCTTTTTGTTAAAGACTGCAACTCACTGTAAACACAGTTAAATAATCAAAACAAAACATAGACACCATTGGCCTTGTTCAGGTAATTTTCCCGCGGAACCAACGTCAAGGGGGGAAATATGAAAACAGTTTGAATATTTTAAAAAAATGATATGAGTACGGTAAACCCTTTTAATGTAGCAATGTGGAAGAAAATGTGCCTTACCAGATCTTGCTGGTTGAACATGGTTGTTAGTCCTCGGTCCTCTCGGGCTGGGTTTTGGACCACTTCATCCAGAGTTCCTAAGTTTGATGATCAACTAAGCTTAGAGATTTGCTCTCCCTTGCAGTGAGGGTTGTTCCGCTCATAAACTCCGCTGGAAGTGGCGTTCGTTTGTTCCCCTGAACTGAACGTGACCGGCGATCAATAGTTTATTCGTTCGCCGACGAAAACGTCACTGGATGGATTTCTTTTTATTCACAGAAGAAAGGTGGTGGGCATTGCAAACGTCCGACAACACAAGGTACAGTGGCTTCATATCGCATTTCAGCCCAATTACCAAACCACTGCAGTTCGCAACGGTCAGTGCGCAGGAATTAAAAGGACACCAAAATATCGCGGGGGGGGGGAAATATTTGAGTAAATAATTCCACGAAGCTTTCTTGACTCTTCTTTATACCGCGAAAAAAGGAGTAGCCGTTCTGCACAAAAGGTAGCCTGCAAATCAGCAATATAACCTTGAAAATTGCACAATGGACTGAACGGAGTGTTAATCTTTCCCCGCAGGGACCATTGAAAGCCAGACCTTCACGCACTGCAACGCAAATCAATGGTATCCTGGGATCCACATATTCACAACGCCGTATTTAACCCTGATATAGAAGTTGTCAGTCGTTAGGTCATATCGAACAGAAGGTCACACTTTGGGTCTGTAATTGTCCATCTTTGTTCCCCTTTTCTTTCTTATTCCCTCTGGCTTTTCTCCCAGAAGGTAGAGTACAAGTGTAAAAGATAAACTTAACTCTTGATGTGAACATCAACCCTGCAAGGTACATTCAGGTACCTTCAGGTACAACATTATTTACAAAGATGTCAATTATCTCCTACGTCTTATTACACAGGTATGGTGATCATGGGAAATCTGACAGACCAAAACTTAATTTGGCAATATTTTTGTTTAACATTAAGAGCCGTCTGACTTTTGTTTTTGGTGCCAATGAAGGCCCGAAGTTCAGGTACGTTTAAATGCCCCCAAAACCTAAATCGGTCAATTCCAGTATATTCCAGAAAAATATATCATTGTGAAACACTTGTACAAGTAGTAACCAAAATCAAAATATGTTGTAATTAGAACTGTTTTGATGAAAAAAGTCTTCATGTCTCCCTTGTTAGGAAACTGACATGAAACTGGGGGCGCCTTATCACATGGGGGTGCCTCATTAAATATGACCTTGCCTTCACGGTGTTAGTCTCCTATAGGATTCTACTATTCTAAAGACCGACCTGTGATGCCATGAAACACTGCGGGCCCCCTCTTGCAGCACATTCCAAAATGTAGAAAATCCATTTTAAGTTGATGTATGGCACGATGTTTGCCGTAAATGCTTGCAAAATACGCGTGTCTGAATATCCAAGCTGATGAGTCAACGCTATTAGACCAGAAGTTATGAAAAAGACCTTCATTGTTTCCAAAAAAATGCAGAAAAAAAAAGAAATTTGAGATATAAGCAATCTTGACTAGCTCAAATTATAGAATAAATACAGGCTTCTATTTTTCTTGGCGGGACGCTTGAGTGAGCAAAGTCATTGGACAGTACCTCGAAGTGGCGTGGACACCCTTTACAGAAGGCCGCAAAGGGTGACCACCCCGAACCAATGTCTCATTCAAAACAGTGTAAAAATCAACAAAGTTTACTGCTAGAAAACATTTAAGCTGATATTAATGGAGTTTCCCAAACAATGATTTTGGAATGACCTTCATCTTTAAATGGCCTTTAATTTTTAGCAGGTTAGCTACTTACATTAAACACCCCAATAACCCCCCCCACGAAAAATAACTGTCCCGACCTTAAAAGCCGTACGTTTTCAAACAGCACCCCTCTATATTTTTGTGAGTCACTTAGGACCATTTTGTCAACTGTAATTTTATCAACTCTGACTCTAAGTAGAATATCTCCTCCCCAAACAAGGAGTTGACCCTTGGCTATATTTTAATTATTAAAAAGAGAATGAAGAAATGTACAGTTTTACAGATAGGAGGAAAACCCCAGAAACATATTCCGGGGACAAACCACGGAATCAGGCAGGGACTGAAAACCCAATCCACATGGGGTACTAGGTGGGATTCAAACCCTTGCAGAGGTGGAATGCGAGGAAAGAGGCACTACACCAACTTGACTCCTCGCTGATTATTGGACAGGAAAAAAAGCCCACTAGCTCGGTAAAATTTCGTTATTAATACGGCGGTAAAAAGAAACGCCACGGTAACAAAACAATCTCCATATGCAGTTTTTGGTTGGTTGGACTTTTACTGTGAAGGGGGATATCACAAAGGGATCTTGTACGAAATTATGCCATCTGAAGTACACTAACATCTTATGTGAGTTTAGGGTTTGTTTTACTTACGTATCCAGGGGATGGGCTGGGGAAACAACATTCCCTAACTAACACGCACTTTCCTTGGTAAATGCTTCAGAACTAAGGCAAGTATTTCCTTTTAATCTTTATGGTTTGAAAATGACCATTAAATCTGCAAATCACGGCAACAAAAAAGGCCGGACAAACAGTTTGCAATGATTGAAGGCATTGTACCTACTTCGAACGAGCTTTGCAACGTATAGTTGACACTGATCGAAAGCCACTTGCCTAGGTAGGGCGGCCCGACCCACGAACAACAAATCGAGCCGTTGGTGAGCATACGAGAACAGGCCGCTCGAAATAAACCATTGTGTTAAAAATCTTGATGGCATTGTTGTTTCGGCCAAACACATATCTTTAGCCGGTTGAGGGCGCTATTTAAGGGTAAAGAGGAGCTTTTGATAATGTAATGACTTCATGCTTATTGACCGGTTTTGCGTCTGACTCTGCTTATTAATTAAGAGCTCTCCCGGTAACGTTTCATTCAGTGCTTAGTAATTAGTATTCCTTTATCCAAAATGTGTGATTAGTGCTATTACTTTCGTCTTATTTCCTGTTAACCTGTATGGTCATAAATTGTCAAAGCATTATGACTACATGGCTCAGTTACACGTCGTTGGGATATTAGGTATGTCTACATGCATGCCGTTTTCGTTTTGCAAGAGGTACATTACACAGTAACTGGATAGTTGGTAGTAGCATTATCCTACCCTGCATGTACCACCAATGTGTCCTTGATGTACCATATATCTGAACCATCATAGTATAGCCAGGTAGAAATGAACATTGAACTAACAATTCATAAATACCTCAGACAGTCTCCCTATTCGCCTGAGGCTCGGGCATGAGTCGCGTCCATAGTCTCCTTAGCCGGTCTTAACCGCACGTTAAATTTAAGACCGGCCAATAAGTAAATCATCTGAATCCGACGAAGCACTGCCCCTGAAGTGACGTAGCAAAATTTAACAGATTCAGTTATAAGTTGTACCAACAACAAAAAACTAGAAAACAAAGAAGTAAAAAAATGAAAAAAAAATAGTAAAAAAAATACAAGAACAAAAACAACTGATTAACACACCATGTGTTTCACCTAATTTACTCATTTTACGACTTAGACTTACGAATGTGGCCCAGTCGCACAGCAGAGCAAGTCCACATTGACGAACCTTCGCAATTGTCATTTACACACAAGCTGCAAAAAGGGTCTGTTTATAAAAGTGAACCTCCTTTACATGAACGTCTACAGTTGCGGCTCCGAATAATAATACTTTTTACCGACCAAGACCTCAGCCGCAAAGTAGAGGATGTGCTTCAGGAACATACCCATGATGAAATCGCTCCATCATGACTGACTGATTTCTATTAGACGATAAGACAGGGGTGGGAGAGTTGTGACGCAAACTAGTTTCGCCTGAAGAGAAACTGAGCAGTTTTTCTTCACATTTTCGACATTGATGAAGCTTACACTATCACACTCGTATCTACATTGAAATAAATGTACTGAAACGATAGAAAATTGTTTTGAGATTAGCTCTAAAGACTTAAAAAAATCACAATTTAACTAATCACTTTTTAAAACGAAGTTGTTACTGTCTCTGAATTTGAATGGATTAAACTGGTTAAACATGTCCAAGATGTTGCAACAATGGGAGACTTTGACACGCTTGGAAGCTGCAAACATGCCAATCCTTTAAACTAATTCTTTGCATGTGCGCGTTGTTTTGAGCATGCGTACATAGTTCTGTGTATGCGTAATACTATGCTAAAGGACCGGTGTGTCTGCTGCCACCAGAGTCTGAAAGTCTCCCATTGAGACGAGGAAACCTTCTCGCTTATGTTCACAACATCTAGCTTGATGAATTATTGAATTTTACTAAAAGTGAATGCAAATGCTTTTTTAAATTTTGGTGTAAAAATGTCCAATACAGAGATTCGAAAATTTATAGTTATTGGATTCAATTATGTATAATTTAAAAGAGTATATATAATCATTAAAAGCATTCAAAGCGCGAAAACAGTTAAAGCAGAATAGTCATCAAAATCCTAAGAATCCGAATCAACGCGATCCCCTTATTGTTTGTAAACTTAACTTGTGGGAACAAAGATATTTCATTAGGTGCATGTAATACAATTCCCATCTTTATTTTAACTATGGGTACAATAATGTCGCCTTTGTTGTCCAGTAAATGAATATCTCTCACAGTGAGGCTAAATCATGGTCAGGTTCCTTTCCATTTCAGAGTGTTCAGTGAATGCATTGGATCTAGGAAGCACGATCTAAAATTTCCATCTAGTGAAGAGAGCCTGTGCATAAAATGACACCACTGCTTTATTTCAGTATGAGATATGTTTTCGCTTTGTAGTCTAATTCCAGACATTTTTTTTAATATTATTGAGTCATGTCTGAAGTTCCTTGAATTGTTCATTTGAACCCACATACGTAGCCATAATCCAATCAGTTAAAACATATTATCAGTAAGTTCTATGTTTGACTGGGTGAGATCGACCGGTCGATCTTTCAAGGCACTTTGGTCTGGTTCCTGTGTATCTTGGGGAGGCACACGCGGGTGTTTAAAGTCATAGGCAACGAGAACAACAAAAACCAGGAATATTGTGATACCGATGTAACAGGCCAGCTGGCCCCTCAGATCCCACGGGTCGAAGAACGTGGTCACAAACCCGCAGGTCAAGTTCCCCTTGTCGTTCGTAATGACGGGGGCGATACAGACATAGAACGTGGTCCCGCCATCTACCTCACCCGGGGAGTACAGAGTCGTGGTGGGGGACAGTTCCTCGCTGACGAGCTCGACGTCGTAGACACTGGAGACGGTAAGGTCAAAACCCTCCAGGCGGGAGACGTTGAAGCCGTTGAGTTGATACCCCCAGTGTACGGTGAAATTGTGTTGGGTCACGTTGGAGAAGGTGACATCGATGACCTCGATGGCGAGGTAAAGGTCAAGGGTAGTGGAGAGGAGGAATACAGCTAGGAAGACATTAAGCGTGCTACCTGCCATCTTGTGCAGTCTGGGTATCTCTCAATTCGAAACCAATAGTTATTTTGATAGACTTTGTTTATCGAGCCTTTGCTCCGTGGAAAGCCTTTCACACTACTGTAACTTCAATAAGGCACGTCATCCTAGTATCGAGAAGAGAAGCGGTAATATAATTGAGTTAATACAAAACCTCAAGAATGCATCTTTTTGTCTCATTAACCTCGTTTATGATGTTCAATACAATATTCCTGTGGCCTTATATAAACAAAAAAATGAATTAAGGTGTTAGTGTCAGTATCTTTCATGTTGTCTCCGCGTTTATGGCAACAAAGTTTTAATACAAGTTTAAAATTAAAATCTTTGTTGTTTAAGTTCTATTTGCTGCCATTTTGTTTTTTTATGCTAATGAAATGTTCCTACTCATGAGCAAAACTGTGAGGTCATTTCAGGAAGAACTCACTAGCTGTTACATTGGTTTGCCCACATAAAAACCTTCTTTTTATACGTTTTCTTGCCTGAACTTTGTTTTCTTTGTTAATTCATTATGGTGTCACGTTTGGCAGCAAGGAACCCTTTTCTGTGAAATATTTTTAGTGAATAAATTGTGCGTTCACAATTTCCGTAGAATTGAAACCTGTGCAGTGAACAGTGACAGCGCCCCCAGTTGTCTGGGAAACCATGAATAAAGTTAAATGTTAAGAAAAAATGAGAACACTACACTTCTGTATGCAACGAGCCTAATAATAATAAGAAGAGTGTAGGATTGAAACAAAGACATTTGAAAGACAAATTCGTTGCAGCAACACTTAAAAGTCTGAAATAGAAAATTGCAAGTGCTGTATAGCAACGCCAGACCACCCAGGAGTCCTTGCTAAGGCACGTCCTGTTGACAATGCTGACATTCAACGGATGAGGTAACCTACTGCATAATAAATATTAGGTATCACACCCAATTGCTTGGGAGTGGGCCCCGAGAGAAGCTTGAACCAAAAACATTCTGTTGATGATGTACTTTTTTTTCTTGGTACGTACACAGGGCTATAGTGGCACTTACTGCCGGGGGCCAGCTGCCCATCCCCGGGAAATTGTGGCCACTTGCTCTTCCGAAACGGTTTTACCGTCAAGAAAAGGGATATAGATTCTTTTCAGGAGGAAATAAAAAGGGACCATTTTTTATAAAGACAAAATCCCATTTTCCCCCTCCCCCGACCAAAGACCTGTGTATGCTATTGTCCTGATTAATTTTCTGAGCAAAATCAACTCCCCTTGTCATATTACCACTGAATCATTCAGTGAAAGGAAGTGAGACCTATGAAGAGCAAACCATAAATAGTATGATATCTTCTCAAGTAGTACACCTGGATTCGTTTTTCTACTTGCTGGATAAGTTCTTCCTTGGTGTTTTAAAATCAGCCTTTGCCATTCCATGCTGTTTGTTTTGTTTGAATTTAACACTAGAGTCGCTGGTTTCTGTTTACCAATTGACTTTGGAATACCTCATCAAAATATTTGATGCGGCATAGTACACTCACGGTCTAGGATCGGTTGATATTGGAAACCGGATTTAGAAAATACCAGATGCTTTTTTAAGAAGTATGTGCAAACATTGAATTTCAGTGGTGCTAATTTAATTTGAAGATGAAACAAAATACTGATCGACATCACAAGTGAAGAAAACCAGAGAGACGCTGCACTTGGAACTCACCAGTGTCTTTCTCTCATTTATTCTGTCTTCCCGATGCAGCGCAGCTACTCAGGCAATCAGAAACTGTCCAGAGATCAATGCAATCAGACTTTCCGGGAAATCTTATATCCACTTTAACACGAGCACGGATTTTTCTTCCTTCGAGCCAGACATCAGTTACTTGTTTTGGTTTCTGTGCGCCATTTTGGCCGTGCATTAAACACGTTTGGGCTCAAAGGTCACTGCCGCAATTGTTAACTAAAATAAACCTGTCGGATACCAGACTATCTCCCCATTACAACCAGGATTAATGATTAACCTCTTTTTCTCGATGAAAATGTTTGCAGCGTTTTAATATTGTATTACAAGTGGGTTGCAAAGTCACTGTAATTTTTTTCTCCCTCAAGTTTAAACTGTTTGCGGACACCGCTCTGGACTTCATTTTTAGTTCCTTTTAATTTTATTTGCCCATTAATTCACCCACTGACTACTGATTGGCATCAGACTTTAATTCGTCAATGCATTTTTATTTTTCAGTTCCCACATTCCCCCAGATTTAATTGGATTATGTCGCATACAGTAGGTTCTTTGACAAATTCAATTCGCCATGATCCTTTCAGACAATCTGTCTGAGTAAGACGGATATTTTGCTGGTTGAGTTTATCTGTAAGTCCAAGATACGCTGCATCACATCATATCTCTGACTGCTGTAACAACGACTATGTTGTGGTTGCTGCACATTACCACAGTGCCCTCAACGTCAGCATGGAGAGTTGTCAGAGGTTAGCGGTAGGAGGCAGCATCGTCATCTGTTGAAGCTAATCGGAAACCTGTTTTATTTCATAGAGTTGGACTGTACATATTCCAAAGCTTGGGTAAGTCTTTTAACCTTTCAATCTGGAACTTCCCAAGTCCCTTTTTAAATCAAATATCATCGGGTTTATTTGGCACCCTCTCCAATGGTAATTCGTGAAGGCATTTTACCTCTAAGAGTCAGAGCTTATTACAGAAATGGTTTAAAAATCAACACTGTTTAGCAAAGCTGCCTGAAAAAAATATCGCCAAAAAGCAGACAAGAATTTTGAAAACTGCATAATTTCAACCAATTTTGAAAGATCCCACAGTTCAGGAAAACTGGACCTTGTCTGAACGCCCTTCATGCAAATGGATTGCTTTAAGGAGCGGTGTAAACAGAAACATTAAACACGAATCTTATTTTCGCGTCTATCAGTCGGTCACTTTGTAGGTTTGTCAGTCGGTCTTTCTTTTTGTCGACTGGTTAGTTTGTTTCGTTTTGTTTTACCATAACAACTCCGACCGTTGATGCGAGGGAAATTTGTTTCATTTTATTTTATAAGGTCTGGAGCTACAACTCGAATGTTAGTTTCCATGCATCTATTGGTAGATACATTTATCTTGATTACTAGAAACTTAACTCTACGCATGAGTTCGTTGCTTCAAATACTCAGTTAACGCCAGTTAATCTGCCATAACATAACTACCTCCATGGTTTTTGCCTCGAGCACGCATTACATCTTTTATCATAATGCAGTGCATTCATTCCAGTACATTTCAAATAATGAAGTGTGCACCCAAGTTGCCTCAGTCTGACTTTATTTCAGTGAGAGCTCTAATCAGGCTAAAATGTTTATCATATACACTCATATATTCCGGAATAAATGCCCACCTAGAAGAGCCTTGCAATACCACTTACGGTGATTGTGTCTAAGACAGCAGAAAAAAAGATGTCTGCCCGGAGGATCTCGGGCGGAATATCGCGTGAAGCGGAGCACGTATTATTTTCTCGACCTTCGGACTTAATGGAATTTGGCAGCGTACAGTTGGCTGGAAGCTGGCAGTGCGCATTCTGCAGCACAAGTTCAGTTGTTGTTCTTTGCTATGACTTGTAAAAGGGTGGAGGCTTTTTAGTAGTTTAAAAAAATATTAATGGCGGGTCAGTACAGTGAGAGAGTAAACCACTGTTCAGTCCGTGCGGCATCGTACCTAGCCCCTTGCTGCGTTCTCATCCTAACTATTTATTACGGACCACAATTAGACTCGGTTCGGTGTAGAAATCAACGAAAAGCCATGAGCTGCCTGCACAGTCTTGTTTGGTGAAGTCTGCTCTCTGGTGATAACCACAGAGATGTGACCTACTGCAGCAACGCAGTGGTATATGGAACACTGGTGCAGACCTCATAACAAGGGGAAATAGAAAAATGATAATGCAAGATCAATAAAGCAAGTAAGAAAAGTAAGTTAAAAAGCCACAGTAATGGAAGTGATTTCACCAGGCTCTCGGTATTATATCTCAACAATCACATTTTTGAGGGTTGTATAAAAGGGCATGTGGCATTAATGTTCAGTAGGCTCTGAGACCCGCACAACTATCTACACACAAGAAGGAAGTACTCCTTTAAACACAATCCATTTCGTGGGGAAAACGAACCGACCTACCATCCCGCTTGACAGACCACTTCGATCATGTGTCCCTAACGGCTTTCATTGTCTTGGATATTAAAAGCCATTTACTGATGCGACTGATCTGGCGCTCGATACAAAGTGACAATGTATGTGGCATTGCTGAAGCCGACACTTGTATCTCTTGACAGTTTTAGCGCATTTTGGCGTGCACGTTTCTTTTTCTGCCTCTCTCTTTAATTATCTAATTTGACATTTATAAAACAAAACAAAACAAAACAAAACAAAACAAAACAAAACAAAACAAAAAAGTGAGAAAAAGCGATGAGATGAGCAGTTAGAGCGCATACCAAGAGGAGAGTCTCGAGACGTACGATCTCAGTCGGTGGAAAAGCAATCACGTCTCGCCTGACGTCCTGCGATCACCTCGGTAAACACACCAACGGCCCGTGAAGAGGATTTCATCCGCGACACGAAAATGATTGTTTTGCCAGGATGCGGAAAGCATCGCGAGTGAGGAGATTTGGGATAGAAATAGAAATTCAAGGTGGTTATGTGAAATATATTTCAAGGTGGTTAATAGATATTCAAAGTGGAGGGGAGATGGAAAGAGGATCTGACTGCATGATGACTATCTTGAAATTACATCTCCTGCATGTAAATAAGCTTGGGTCGCTTATGTATTCGCGCAGAATTTAACATATTTTTGTGCTGATACTATCCTATTCGAGCGTGAAGTTTTTTCTCTCATCTTTTGAACAAAAGATACACTGCTTGGTTGGAGGCTACCTGCTTTTATATCTGCCGTCATGATTATTGTGAAATTTACCGCGAAATTGGCAGTTAACAAAAATGAGGAACGGAACGGTGGGAAATAATGTAAAAACAACAATTGCGGTGGTAGTGTTTTATTGTACACTATAGCACATCTTGCAGGAGCATGCATACATCCGTATTCAGTTAGTCATTTGTCTAAATAATAATGGAACTTGTCATTTTCCGTGTGCTCTCCGTCATACGGCGACAAACTCGTGGACAATCCATCGTAACTTGTTTCATCCCAAGTGCTCATCAAAATACCGCATACAGTAATTATAAGTAAAGAAGCCTTTTCAAAGAAAATAAAAGACCAGAAAAGCCATCCTCCGTCCGAAGGACACGCTTCGCTTAAAAAGAGCAAAACTGTCCAGACCGAAAAACGATGAAGTTGAACCCAAGCGACAGCTGTTTTCCTCGGAAGCGAGAAGGGTTGGATTTGATTAAAAAAACAAACAAAAGTATTAAAGTAAAAAAAAGGGGGGGGGAAGCAATTTCTTTGACACAGGGTGTAGGGATGAATTCAGCATGTCGGTTACGAGTCATTAACTGTAATATTACGATCCACACGAAATCTGTGGCAAGGTCACGCGAGCTCTTTGTGCTTGTTGAAGCTCGAATCCTTGTGGACCTGAATGCCATAACAGTGGATGGCGCTGTGCGTTTAGACTCGTGGAGGGCGACGAACAACGAGCGACGGTCGATGAAAGCAGTCTTGTGCTGACTTTTAACAGACTGGCATATTCAATTGCGAATCCAGAATTGGGGGGGGGTGTCTCGGACCAGAATCTATCCCCAAAACTAGCCCATGATGTTCACCCCCTCCCCCCGCACGGCAGGAGACTTGGATGTAGATATCAGGGGAAATAGTTTGGTATGAGGTTTATAAAGAGAAATAGAGAATCTTTGCGGGCTCAAGCACCCCCCCTCCCCAGGGTACGCCATTTAGCTTTCTGTAGCCAAGATTTCAAGACAGAAATCACCCACGATTCAAAACTGACATATTACACATAAAGTGAAGGGTCTTATTCCGGCAAACGCACAGCCGGGGATCGTCCTCCTAGGAATTTGGCTAAAACCATCAGAAGCTTACTGTGACATGCATTGGTAAACTCACATTCAGTAGATAACTTTCAAAACAATCCAACATTGCGGCATTGCTGATTGGGTGTGTCAGTGTAGATTTCTGACTGACAGAAACAAAACGCCCATTGAGAGAACGGAGCGAACTAAAATGAAATACATTACTAGAAAAAGACTTGGCACAGAAAGCAAACGCACTGCGACGACGCGGGCTGGAGGCAGATTCCGCCCAATCTCCTTAAGGGGGGGGGTTATCACAGACAGGGTTTACATGAATAAATCACGACAACCTTAATAATAGTTGGATAGTTTAGTAAGGATATCTGCACACTAACTGAACAGTCACTACTGTCATTCCCGGCAAAACCGCGTCCCAAATCCTTGGCTGAGGCTGCAGCACGCACGGTCAAGGGAAACAGCTGCAGCCGCAAGAGATAGGATAGACACACTTGGTTTTGCTGGTCAAACGAATGCTCATGTAGTGCTTACTATATTCTTGTGGGCGGCTAATGTTTGTAAAGATCTTATCTTTGGTTGGTGTCAAATTTTTCTTCTTATGATGTACAGTTGCCAAATCATTTTATAGATGGTGTCACATTCCCTTGTTTTCCCTCCCAAGAAATATGACCCTGGGTAGTCTGGTATACGGTACAACAAAATGGATTGGATTCTGATTTAACATTTACAAGCTATGTACATTTATGTACATTTTCAGTGAACCTTCTTTAGACCAAAATATACATGTACACTGTTTTAAAACTAAAAACTAGTCACAATGATTTGACGAAACAGTCGGTTTGACGCTCATTCAGTGGTAACTTGGGATACTGCGGGCGTTCGGGTCCACCGGACAGCTTGCCTTCTTCGATAGAGACGACGCCTCCCGGCCA